AAGTTCTTTTGTTTGTCTGCTCCCTTCCTGCCTTCCCTGGGCCTAGAACAATGTGCCACACATGGCAAGCACTCGATAAATAATTGCTGCATCAATACATGTCTGAATATCAGTTCATCCTAGTCAGCTCCCATAGCTCCAGTTTTTTTTTTTAATCTTTCTGTTTTCTTTTTGTTTTTTGGCCAAATCTCCACATGTGATTCTTTTTTTTTAATTTTTTTTTTTAACTGGAAGATAATTGCTTTACAATATTGTGTTGGTTTCTGCCATCAGCATGGATCAGCCACAGGTATACACACTTCCCTTCCGTCTGGAGCCTCCCTCCCATCTCCCACCGCAGCCCACCGCTCTAGGTGATCACGAGCACTGGGCTGTCCGCCCGTGTCCTGCACCAGATTCCCAGGGGCTGGCTGCTTTACGCACGGTGATGTGTCTGTTCCCATGTTACTCTCTCAGTTCACCCTTCCTTCGCCTCCCACACAGTCCACAGGTCTGTTCTCTGTGTCTGCGTCTCCACGGTAGTTATGGGTACCTGTTATGCAGGAGACGTGGAATAATACCAAAGCTTAATATCTTTGTTATATAAAATTATGCCACATGCCCCAGAAATGTCTTTAGACGAGTCCAAAGATAGTCTGTTACCGGCTAGGGAGGGCAGACTGTTCCAGTGACAGGTTTTGGGGGCTCACCGGTGGGAAACTTGTGTGGGGTTCCACTGCGTGGGGAGTTGCCACAAATGAACAACCATCCCCTTTTCCCTGCAGTTCCTCCTGAGGACGTCGTATGTACACAGAAATGAAACTTGATCCGGTGTGTCCTGCACTTGACCACCTCTCAGCAGATACCCACTTCTTTTTCCCTTGTATTCCCACCTACTGTTGATACTCTCTCGTTGTGTTTAGATAGTGTTTATTGGAGTTTTTGGTTTTTGTTTGTTTTCCCTGGGGTGGGTTTTTTTTGTTTTGTTTTGTTTTGGTTTGTTGGTTTTGTATTGTGCTTTGATGCCACGTGTGGAAGTTGGACTTTGGACTTTATTGTGGTAGGCTTTGCCCTCTGGCTGCATGTCTGTGTGCACATCTCCAGGGAAGCCTTCACACCTGTTTGAGGCTCAGACTTTCCTTCTATAAAAATGGTGGAGTGATTACAGGACCTGTCTCTGCAAAACAGGACAGTTGGGGAACACTATATCTCAGGAGGTTCATAAATATAAAATATCATCATCATAACTTGAAAGCATGTTATCAATAAATATTTCAAAAAATATTTATATTTAATATGTTGGAGGGCAACAGTGGCTTTTAATAAAATTGCAGGTGAATAATATGCTTGACTCATAGCTGTTTTGCTAAACTTCTCATCTGACTAATAAGTACAGAAAATGTCCTCAGTTTAATGCAAAATACAAGATAAGCAGGTGATAGGCATTTCTGCAATGTGAATTCAATGTTATCTTTTATTGTTGTGTACTGTAAATTGTGTATGGAACTGGGGCAATGTTCACATGAAAAAAAAAAACACAGCTGCCTTGCTCTTGAAAATATCCCAAATATTTAAGAGCACTATGGCTTTTTATTTTTTAATTTGTTGTGAAACATTTTGATAGACATCACAGTGGATGTCTTTTAATTAAGGTCTGTCATTATAATTTTTTTATAACTTCATGTAACAGGAAAGATTTCTGCCAATAAGTATAATTCTACAAAGGATAAATAAAGTATTTAAGACTTTAAAAATCTAAACATGTATAGAAGAGGAGTTGGTGGAGCCATCATTACTAAAAGTAATACAACTCTTAGATATAGAAGACAAAATGGGCACCTTGTTAAGCAAGGACTTGTAATTTATGATTCTTTTGGTAGGATATTTATTATTTTTTCTACTTTGACTAATTAGAAACATGGGACCTGATACAATGGTACTTTGTTCCATTAGAAAAATTTGAAAGTATTAGAGAAAGTAGTTGGTCTAGAATGCTGTGAATTGAATTAGTATAAATAAATACTTACATGCAAAGTGTGCAGAACCATTTATAGAAAACTTATTATGCCCAAGGCTCTGTGCTGGCTTCTCACATATTTTGTCACATTTCGGCCTCACTGACAACTATGCCATTGCTGCCGTTGTTTCTCTGTAGCGGTTGAAGAAACTGGTGTTTATGGGCTTGCCCCAAGGAACACCTCCAGTGAGTGACCAAGCTAGTCCTTGGAGTCAGTCTGCTGGATTTCAGAGACAGTGCTCTCAGCCCCAGCCCGCAGCTCCGCATCCGTCTGTCCACGGGTAGTGAATGGGACATAGGTCCAGACATACTGACACGGCCCACTCTCCAGAGTACGTTATTCAGCCTCCAATAAGCATTGCTAAGTGGAAAAATCAAGTGGAGGACGGTGCATGTTATATACTACACCTGTCTTTTAAAAAAAATTATAATTGTCTTTATATATTTTCTTTGGAAAGTCTTTAAGGTTACTTCAGGGATTAGTCTGGGGCCCCGTGGGGTCCCAGTGACAATGAGACTGAAGTTTTACTGGATATCCTTTGGGTTCCTTTTGAATTGTCAGCACTGTTGTTGGTTGGCAACCTTGGGATTTCCCAAAGTGAAATTCAAACCTGGTCCCCTGGTCTCCTTGACAAAGAAGGCAAGGAGAGCCCTCAAAAAAGAAGCAGATAGCATCAGACTTGTAGGTGGCAGGGTTAATAAGCAAGGAACTTACATATGATGCTTGCCGTGGGCAGCTGAAAGAAGAGGAAAATCTTGCCAGAATCTTTTGAGTTTTTATAGATGCTTTAACTGGGTTCAGTCACATATTCAGTCCACGTAGTCTCAATAACACACTACTATCTCAAGGCCGAGTGCTTGAAGATGGTTCCCACTGTGGGAATGGTGGGCAGAACATACAGGCCAGAGATGGGGCCAACTTGGATTAACTGACAGTCATGTCCAGTCAATGATCTTTTTCAACAACGGCATGTGACTACTATTTAAAACTCCATTTTAAAATGACACTGTTAAGAACTGGTAAGAAAATTAATATATCTTAAGAATTTTGTACATTTAAAATCTGCTTTTCAGGGATCCCATCTGTTTATTTTGAATCACAAGCTATGGGATGTTAGCTCTACCCAAGAGAATGTGTTGATCCAGGGAACTCAGCTGTTGGGCCTGACTGTACCACTTGGTCAGGTCATCATCGTCAGGCCTCAGTTTTCTAAATTGAAACATGAGAAGAGTGAACAAGTTGCCTTCCAACTTGGAAAACCAATAATTTCAAGATAAGCTATAAAAAAACACTTTTTAAGAAGATTAAGTTCATGGTTAAAGTTAAGTGCATTCATGAAAGGAGCGCCGTCTTGGTTTTCAATGGGCCAAAAGGCTCTACTGTTCTGTGGCTGCTCTGGGTGTTGTCTCTTGATGGCAGCACTGAAGAATTGGGGTGAAAGTTTCCAAGAACAGGCAATTCCTAGTGTAAAACCAGAATATCCTATCATAGCCACTGTAGCAACATTTCTCCGTCCATCAGTACATAGTGGTATCAAGGTCAAATATAGGCTGGATTCAAGACTAATTATTGAACTCTTTCAAAGCATCTTTGGTCACTGGTTTGTAGGAATCTATTAGGCATAGGTTCTTCATAATTTGCTGTAATCTGAATGATAAGAGCTCAGCAGACTTTTTGGTAAAGGGCCGTGTGGTAGAAGTTGTTTGATTTGCGGGCTCCCCCTTCTTTTTTTTTTTTTTATTATTATTTATTTATTTATTTATTTATTTATTTTTAATCACAACCATAGTGTATCTTTTTTTTTTTTTTTACATGTATTCCCCATCCCGATCCCCCCTCCCACCTCCCTCTCCACCCAATCCCTCTGGGTCTTCCCAGTGCACCAGGGCGGGCTCCCCCTTCTCTGTTGTAACAGCTCAGTCCTGCTGTCGCAGCACAAAAGCAGGAGTAAATGACACGCAGATGAATGGGCAAGGCTGTGTTCCGGTAAAACTTGTTTACAGAAAAGGGCATTGGGCCAGATTTGGCCCATGGCTTATAGTTTGCTTACCCCTGAATCATAGAAAACAAACCCCCGCCCAAACATTCTCTTTGCCCTGTGTCCTGAGATAAATTACCTTATTGCTGCTCCTCTAATTCCTGAGTGTAAGAATAAATGCCTCCATTCTACAGTACCACACCTTCAGTAATTCCCTTATGAATAGCCCTAGTTGGCAAATGCTACAGTTCTACCACATCACCCTGATGCCCTCCCTGTTTTAGTTTTACAGCTTGTCTTCCTTATTTCTTTTCACTCGGAACGGATATTTCCTGAAGATAAACAGTTATGGTTGCTTCTCTTGCATTCCTTTGTATTACCATTTTTACATGATTTCAGCCTTTACCCCCAAAATGTTTGGGTCACATATCTCTTATACCTAGGGAATTGTGGTCAGCGTTGTTTCAAATCTGCAGGATATAATTGGTTAACCTCTTGCTAAACATATTCTTTCCTCTCTTAAGCGAAGCTCACCACATTTAACAAGCCACTTTCTTCAAAGAGCAAGAAAGTCTGGAGGAAGAATTAATCTTGGCAAATTATTTGCAAAGATAGATGTTGGTCTCTGAACTCAGTGCATCCCTGGAGAGACCTCTGCCTTAGCCAGGAGAATTGGGAAGCAGCCTTGCTGTGTAAGAATACCTGGCTCCCATCCTAGACAATTCTCTCCCAGCCTCAGTCCAGCTCACATCGTTGTCTTTTCCCCTGAAGCACCTCCTAGTTTCCATCCTTTCTTTTCCCCCAGTATTTCCAAATTCTAAAACCTCACCTGCCATGGACAAACTTGATGTTGGCAAAGTTCTTCACTGGGATGCATGAAGGCTCACAGATTATTGAGATTTACTACATGCTTTAAATTCACGGCTTTTCCTATTCAGCAATTTAGTTGTAGCCCCGGATAAAGGTGATTTGTGTGATCCATCTTGCTTTATGTCTCGCTTAACATTCTGTCTTTTTCATGACAGGTTGCTGAATGCTATAAAGCCAGGACTTGTTAAAAAGATCAATAGATTGCCTACCCCCATTGCAGGATTGGTGAGTATCCAGAATTGAGATTTATCTTCCAATATTCCTCTGCTCTAACCTAAGGGTCATGACAATGCCATTTATTACAGTTCTTTCCTGCAGTATATATTCCACATGAATGAAAATGCATTGAAGCCATTAAAGTGTGAGGTCACTTAAAAATGAAAAATTGCGGTTATGCCTAAATGGCATCTTAATCTTTGTGTTTTTCCCATGAGTGATAAGAATGACGTTCATTCTTAAAGAGGTAAATTTGTTTTGGGGTGAAAAGCTGGTAATTAAGTTGACCCGAGGGGAGGAATGTGATGGTAATTACGGTTTTCTCATTTCAGTTCTCTGCATTCCCCTGGAATGAAGGAGAGAAAGGGTAGTGAGAAAAAGAATTTCATGATGAACAAGCAGCATTTTCATGATAAATTGCTGTTTTCAATCTTAAAAATCTACTTGTGTTTAAGCACCACATTTGTAGACCAACTTTCTAAAGACATAATGGTCACTGAGGTGATTCTATTGTCTGGAGAATTGTTAAGCAAATCCCTGGTTCTTCTGAACCTACCCAGCTAAAACCAGTAAAACTGAAATGTTCACATGTAGTCAGATGCGGGATTCTTCTTCATGCATTGCTATGTTTCATAATTCTTGGCAACTAATTTTTATTGCTTAATTGTTGATACCTTTTGCTAATAAGAAAAAGGTGGAAGATCAAAAGGACAAGCAGATCTTAGTTCTGGAAGCAACATGGTGCATATGTCTGGTCTCACACATGAGCCCTCACATACACACGTGTACATGTCCAGGTACATGTGTGCACGGAAAGCTGAGGGTATGTGTGGTTTAGTAACAATGCTTCGACTGTTTTCATTGTGGCTGCCTTCTGTGCCTGTGGTCTTGCAAAAAACAATTAGAAAAATGTCAAGAATTTAAGCAGGCTCCTACTTAGACTCTGATGATTTGCTGCACAGTCATACGACAAGGACTAATTGAAATTTGATGCAACAGCAACAGAATTACATTTGAGAACTGTGGGGGTCATGTAATTAGGTACATGGTTTAAGCAAGTTGAATGAAATGGATTTTTAAAAATTGCAAGAATTGCTATTTCTGCAGGTGTGTTTTATTTCCCATACTGGTTAGTAGTACATTGGTAATTAGTTATTAAAAAATCTTTCTAATTTCATTCATCAGAATCATGTAGCCAAGTAAGTCAATACATAGATATTTAAATAATCTGATTAAAAATCTGTATATTATGTATATTAATATTATATGCATTAATGTGTATATATATTAGTTATTTTAAAACTTTTTATTGAATCCATCTCTTTCAAACGTTAAGGCCATCACTTTAATGATGCTGACAGATATCTGGTTAGCCCCAAGCATGTGGCATCTCCAGACCTTGGAAGTCTAATACATAATATTATAGGAGCAAAACTTGCAGCAAGAAGTCAAGGAAGGCACCAGTGAAACCCACATGGCTGCAGGAAGCAGCTCTCAGTCCAGAAGCTAAGGGGAGAAGGGTTTTATAAATATTAATTTAAACTGTAAATTGTAAATAATTTGAGCAAAATTAAGGGTTTGAGACACATGCATTGATGTTTATGTTGGATTCTTCTAGCAGATCAAGCATTGTTCTTTACCTGTTGCCTCTGCTTTGGAACAGGCAGGCCGTGTGATTCAAGAGAACTGGGGACCTCTGTTGCTTTACTCCTATTTATACCCCTAACTTTTCCTCCTTCTTCTTCCTTTCTCATTTGAATTTCCTGTCCATCATTTCTCTGTTTTCTTGCTCTTTTCCAAGTAATAGTTTCCCACTTATCCCATCCTGTATCACTTCTGTTTTCTTGACTGATTTGTTGTTGTGCTACTGTGATTTGTAATAAGCAATATGTGTTTGAACTTTGTCTGTTTCCGGCACAGAGCACCTAAAACCCTTGGAATTTCCTAAGCCATAAGAGCAATGGGAACATCTTTTGTTATAATACTTGGTCTTCTGTCATCAGGTCCTGAAATGGCTCCAGTTCTATGAAGGTGAAGGAGTATTTTGTTCTTTATAACAAGCTCCTTTCAGCCCCACCTGAATGAGGTAACTTTTGGAAAGTCCCAAAGATGGGGGCTGGTTGCCAGGGGAACCAACGTCATGATGAGACAGTTGGAACTTTAAGTCCCACCCCACTGACTTCCAGAGAGGGGAGAGGGGCTGGAGGTTGATTGAGTTGCCCATGTCAGTGATTTAATCAATCTTGCCTATGTAATGAGGCCGCCATAAAAAAACCAAAAGGACATGATTCGGAGAGTTTTCAGATTGGTGAACACATGGAGATCCCAGGAGAGTGGTGTACCCAGAGAGCATGGAGTTCTATGTCCTTCCCCACATACCTTGCTCTATGTACTTCTCAATCTAGCTGTTCTGAATCCTTTATAATATTCTCTATAATAAACTGATAGACCTAAGTAGATGTTTCTTTGTGTTCTGTGAGCCACTTTAGCAAATTAATCAAACCCAAGAAGGAGATCTTGAGAACCTCTGATTTATAGCTCGTTGTTCAGAAGCCCAGCTGACAATCTGGACTTGAGGCTGATATCTGAAATGGGGGCAGTCCTTTTTTTATTAATTTTTTTTATGGGGATAGTCTTAATGGGACTGAGCCTTGACCTGGGACATCTGACATTATCTCCAGGTAAAGAGTGTCAGAACTGAGTTCATTGCTTGCTGGTGTTGGAAAAAACACACAATGGAGTTATCTTTAGCCCTCCCCCCCAAATACTTATCTATGTATAATTAATTACTGCCCATTCACTCATGATTCCTTAATATACAAATCTAGTCAAGCTCTTTTTTTTTCTCTCTTCTCCAATTAACCACCAGATCAACATCTCCAAAAACCAGTGCGCAAGTTGGGGTACCAACAGGAAACAGAACTTCTGTGCCCTTTCCCCATCCTGTTAATGTTCTTCCAGAGTTTGCTCTTCAGATCTATCCTGCTTCCTGTCTACACTGATGTTTCTGTCTGCCTTCATGACCTCAGCTCTTCATAGCATTGACCCAAGTCATCATTTCTCACCAGGTTTTTTCTGCTGAACTCCAAGTCTCTTGTTCTGTGTATTGGACAGCTCTGTCTGGATGTCCTACTGAACATCTCAAACTGAACATATTCAATTTAGAAATGACCGCTGCTGCCCACCAATGTCAGTAAAGGCATCATAAACATGCAGTTGCCCTAGTTGAGGTGTTAAAGAACATGGCAACTTTCTTTAGTCTGTCTACTTGTTGCATTTCGTTGGCCACTCAATAAGGCCTAGAGCAGGTCTTCCTCATCTCTTTCCTAGACTATCACCGTCAACTCATAGGTCCTCAGATGTTATTCACTGTCATGTATGAAGCCTTTTCTCATGACACTTCTTAGGAATATATCTCTCTCCGCTCTTCTTGACTAAATCTTATTTACTTATCAAGATTCAATGCAAAATCACCTTCTTTGTAAAGCCTTTCGTGTTTATGGTCCATATGATCTCTTTTATAGAATACTGTTAGCATCTCCTGGTTTATGAGAAAATGAGTTAATAGAGATTAAAAAAAAGACAGCTGTATTGAAATATGATTGGGGGAGTAAGATTTTTGAATAACTATTGTCACTAGTTTGCAATTCAAGGTGTGCAAATGATGTAGTATTCATATTTGAGCACTGTAGCTTTAAAATCACACAAACAGGAAAAACTGAGATGGATCCAAAGCCCTTGCTCTTACTTGCCAATGCCTATAACGGGTGCAGTGATAACAGGGGTCCTCGGGATGCATGAAGAAGCACAGCATCACCCTGATGGAGTGTCTTCCAAGATCTTCAGCCTGTATCCAATTCTGAGGAAACAAGTCGGACCAGTCCAAACTGACAGACATTCCATAAAACAACTGGTGTACATTCCTTAACTCTGTCGGTGTCATTGAAAACACCTCCCCCTCCCTCCAACTGTTGCAGATGAAGGTGATGAAGGAGATATGACAAAATCCCATGCCTGATCCTTGACTGAGAACGAGCAGCTGTATTAGACGTACTGGGACAGTTGGGGAAATTTGAGTGCAGACTGAATGTTAGATAACTGTGTTTCCTCAATCTTGAGTTTCTTTCACATGTTAACTATCTTGTCAAAGACAGTTGTGGATACAGGGGAATATTCTTGATGTTAGATGAACAAAAGCTAGAGTCTTTAGACATGAAATGTCACAACATGTACAACTAATCCTCAAGATGTTCAGCAAAAAGAGGTTTGTGCATATAATGTATCATTTTATATATACATACACATGGAGAGATAGAGAGAGGGAAGGGGGAGAGAAGGGGGCAGGAAGCGGGGCAGGGAGGGAGGGGAATGTGGTAAAATTTTGCATCTAGATAAAGGATATACAGTTGTCATGGTACCGTTCTTGCAAGATTTTGGTAGGCTTGAAAATTTACAACATAAAACATTGGAGATTGAAACATTAATTCTCTTATCTGCTTTGAGAAGGAAAGGGGACTTCAGGTGAGCAGTAGATTTGAAGGTAGCAGAGACTATCTTGGATGTGTAGAGTTGCAACCTTTTGTGTGCATATACTCTTCACATGACATTTCTTCCACCCATATTTGTGACACTCGGGAAAGAACAAGCAGCATTCCTCAAGTGCATCTGCAGACTTCTAGGTTGATTTGTACTTTGTCAGAGAGTTGACAGGTCACTGACCTTACTCATTAAGCAGTTCTTAGTAGCAGTGGCCACGGAGATCTAAGAGGTGTGGCCAGAGGGATCTCCATGCCTGGAACCCATGCCTGTGTGACTTAATGGCCTGGTGCTGAGAAAAATCCATTAAGATGGCCCAGCTGCTTGACTTGAAGATAAATAGAAAAGTGTGTTTCCACATAGCAATCCCAAATTATAAACATGTGTAGATTTACAAAGGCATGAATAGGTGTATTTTAGCCCCTGAGTTGAGCTGTAGTTACAGAGAATTCAGGGGTGAAGGTGTTAAAACA